GGTTGGGGACCCTCAGCTCCTAAGCATTCTACAACCAATCATAATAACTCTTCTTAGGTCCATCACAAGGATTCCTTCCGAAGCTGCTTCCAAGCAAAAACAAATCCTAGGGTAGGTATTTCCTCCTCTGAATCTGCTTCTAGGGAAACTTATCGAACATTAAATTCTGGCTAGCTAGGGATTTATCATAGGCATTTGCCTTGAGAAAGAAAACCATATTTTCTTCAAAACCCACAAAGGTTTGATTGATCTTTCCAACTATGATTTTATTTAAAAAAATATATGATTTATCTTAACCCTCTCCAACAAGTTCATCAATTCAGTCAAGTCTCCTACTTCCCAGTTATTTAGGTTGCAGATCAACTGAAGATTCCATACTACTGAGCCTTCCACGAGAAAGAAACAACTAGCTTCCCGGGCTCTCTCATAGAAGCTAAGACCAGCAACCTTGAGAAACTCAATTTAATCAACAGAGGAAGCAAAATAAATGAAACCCTTATGGATAGACCTCCTTAAGATTCTTAAATGCTAATTACGTAGAAATATTGAAGTCATGTAACTTTTAAACATATTTCCTAATAATAAAATTTGTCAGATTTTAGCTTTTGTTATCCATTATAGTCTCCATTATTTTATGCCCATAAATCAAGATCATTAAGATTTTTCATGCTAAAAGCTGTTGAGCAACTCTGAGCTTTTCACTGGCAAAGAGCTGGAAATTTATTTTCATCAGGTGGATTTCTGTTGATGTTTATTTTTCTTTCTTCATTGTATATACGTCTATTATTTGCCCAAAGTAGCAATAACCCGAGGACATTTGTTTTATTTTTTATTTTTATTTTTAATTTTTTAAAATTAACTATGTCTGTATATATTGTTGGGATGAAGGTTACAATTTAAGATCTCTCTTGATAGAGACATCAATCTGTTTAAGAAAATGTTAGGGTTGCAAGGCTGCCTTAAGTAGATTTTGCTAAGGTAGATCCTAAAATGCAATGGGAATTTTCTGGCAAGAATCAAAATATCTGTTTGTCCACAATTGTTATCTTGGTTTAGTGATTGTTATTACCCTCAAGTTTCTGTTGGTTCAAAAAGTGGTCATACCATGGAATAAGAATGAAATGTGAATAGTATTTTAATTTCATTGTTAATTCAATCTAGTCTGACTTCAGATTGTTATGTAGCCAAGGAGGAGTTAGAAATACATCTCAAGGGCAGAATCGGTTAGATTATTAATAAAAAGTGCTTCTGCTTCCTGCATAGACAATTAGGAAATAAAACATCCATCTCTTTCGGAATTGGTTCAATTGTGAGTCAAACATGAAAGTTAGAATACAATTTTAAATATCAAGAAAATTATAGTGAGGTAAAGAAGTAGACTGGTAGATACAAATTAAGTTGAACTTAGTATTTCTTTTATCGTTGGTATCGCACCTGCTGTAGGTTGGATTGCATCATGAGTAATTTGAACAGCTGTCTTTCAGGTTGGCTTTCAAGCTATTGCTGAAGCTCTAGGGCTTGCTGCTGTTAAAGCAGCAGTTGCCATTACTGCTATAATAGCTGGCGGACGCTTGGTAAGTCCTATGTTTTCTTCTAGAGAATAAAATTCAAGTGGTTGATGTGCATTTGATACTGTTGCGCACGTAAGTTACATGGTCACTGAGAAACTTAGAGAAAAAGCATAAAGCATCCTGATAATGTAAAATTCTACTCCATATGGTGATCATTTTATTGTCTGCATGATGTTGTCATGTCAGTTTGACTTCCTACAGGAAGTTCAATCCTTAGCTGGTATTAAGTTTAAGTTTCATGTGATACAATTCTATATAGACTGCTGAAAGCATTTAGCTAATACTTCAGAGCATTTTGTTCTCATTTTTTTTTCTTGTTTGTTGTGTTGCCTTCCAGCTACTTCGACCAATTTATAAGCAAATTGCAGAAAATCAAAATGCGGAGATATTCTCTGCGAATACACTCCTTGTTATTCTTGGGACAAGTCTCCTCACAGCTAGGGTGGGATAGCATTTCATTGATCATCATTCTTCTCTCTCTCCCTTTTATATCTTTTAGTGATGATGAATTTATGTCCACATATTTTTGTCTCAAGAACAGGCTGGACTTTCCATGGCACTGGGAGCATTTTTGGCTGGTTTACTCCTTGCAGAGACAGAATTTTCTTTGCAAGTTGAATCAGATATTGCTCCATATCGTGGTCTTTTGCTGGGTCTCTTCTTCATGACGGTAGTCATTCCCAAATTGCTCAATGAAACTCTCATTGTAGTTCAGTTGTTGTATCTGCTCATATATTCTTTAAGTTGCCACTGCATCAATTGTTTATTTATTGATTGTAATTAATCGCAATCATCTTTTGGATTTCAGGTTGGAATGTCTATTGATCCAAAGCTTTTAATATCTAATTTTCCGGTCATTATGGGAACACTGGGACTATTGATAGGTGGCAAGACTATATTGGTCGCACTAGTTGGTAGGCTTTTTGGTATTTCAATCATATCTGCAATAAGGGTTGGCCTACTGCTAGCTCCAGGTGGAGAATTCGCATTTGTTGCTTTTGGTGAAGCTGTTAATCAGGTATCTTTTTTCAATCACTTGTGCTTTGCTTCTGTTGTTTCCTCAATTTCTCGCTTGTTTGTTGTTTTAGGTGATCTACTGTGAAATCGAGATGAGTTATATTCCAATCATTGATGATGGTTTTTATGTCTTTGGAATGATGCTTGCATTTTTTTCCCAAGTCTTCTTTCTCTTTTTAATTACGCAAGTCATTTAAGAGGGAATGGCGGCAGAAGATCATATGGACAAATTGAATTGTTGAGATGCGTTATATGTTTCTGTATACAAGTGGCACCCTCTTGGTGCCTTGTGCATACGTTCTCTTTGCATATAAAACATACCGTTGCTTCTGTAGTTGATCCTTTGATTAATTAGACTATCTCCTGTAACTGTCATTAGTTTGACTGATAAAAGTGTCTTCTCATCATAGTTACTAATTGATGTCTTCTGCAGGGTATAATGTCTACTCAATTATCGTCCTTGCTGTTTCTTGGGTGGGCATTTCAATGGCCCTTACACCATGGCTAGCTGCTGGAGGGCAGTTAATTTGCTTCTCGTTTTGAGTTGCATGATGTTCGAAGTTTACTGCCTGTTGAGAGTGAGGTTGGATGCTTAGCATATAATTTTGGTAGTTCATAATAACTAAAAATATTTGCAGTTGATTTTTTCATTCATAGTTGATTTATTTCAGAAAATATTTGTAGCTGATGATATTGAGAATAAACTTTATTTCAAAAAAGAAGATATTGAGAATAGAACTTGTCATTGGTGGGCCATTGGACTTCATAGGTTATTGCATTACCACTGTAATAGTGATGTGATATATTTGGGAGCTTGACACAAAGTAACCCGTGGTCATTTTTTTTAGGCATCATTCAGTTGGAATGTGAGATTCTTTAAGTGACCTTTAGGACCTTGACAAAATGAAGTAAAGATTTCCTGTAGTCATTCTTATTATTTCACATAATGAGTGCAGCCTCCACCCACTTAAATTACTCCAGCTATAAGACATAGAGGCACGGTTTTCATCTCCATCTCAAATTGTAGTAGATGATTATATTGCGTTGTACTGCTATTACCATTTAACTATCGTACTGAAGGAAAAAATCATTGTCACGTCTGATGGGTTAAAACTTCTAAGGCTGAAGAAAATTTAAGGAATGGTTTTCGTCTCCATCTCATTCTTTCGTATATCATGTTATGTTATATCATTATTACCAATTACCCATTTACTGTTCATGCTTTCAAAGACTTGCATACTTAGAGTCATGGATTACCCTTTATTTAGAAATATTTGTTTTCCAGGGCTATATTTTTTGGGAGGAAATTTTTCTGAATTATTTGTTGGTGGTTGAGGTCCCTCTTTTTTATAGTTAGATCGTGAAATAGAAATGTTTTTATATTTTATCCAGATTTGTAGTTATCTACCTTTCAGGTGTGCTTATGTGACAACTCTAACTGATTCATTTTTCACTTTACATGATTTTATCTCCAGACAGATGACTTGCAAGATCATATAATCATTTGTGGATTCGGACGTGTTGGCCAGGTTTGACATGTTTTTTTTTATTTCCTTTTATCAAGTAGGTTAGCACCATGTGAGTGGTTTTTGTTGTTAACTGAGTGTGTTACTGCATTCTTGCCATCTTTCATAGCTTTTCTGAGCTATTTTGTTAATTCGTCTTTCCAGATCATAGCTCAGCTTCTATCAGAACGACTTATTCCATTTGTTGCTCTTGATGTGAGGAGGTAACTCAGAATTTACTGGAAAAATCTAATTCTGTTTCTTTTCTTTTTTGCATGATTATTTGAAATGTAAGTGTGATTGTGTTATTATTCTTAATAAGTAAATAGATATGAGTCCGATTTGTCCTATATTTTGTAATTTAGTTTTAGCAGAAGACAGTTGTTAGCTTCTTCTCTGCCGCATCTATTCCTCAACCACTACCAGAGAGGAAATTGAATAACCTTATTATTGGATTTTCCTCACCAGGTCTATTCAGATTCAGAACTTGTGTTTTGACAATTCTCACAGCTAAATATATTAATATGTTAGTCATTATCTATGGAATTGATCTTTCACTTCTACTATCATGTTCATATTTTTTTCTTAAAGAAAAAAATAGTACTAAGAGGCACCCAGGGGTTGGCACCCATGTTGAAAAATATTTACAATTCTCTCAAGGTGAAAAGATCACTTGTTCTTGAGAACTATGAATGAGTACATTGAAACAATCAATACTTCCAAAGAGAACCACTACTATTATTTTATGCCACGACAATAGCCATGGGATTCTTTTTCTGGGGTGATTTCATTAAATAAGATCTTGTTAGAATATACTCTTGAATATACTTAATCTTTTATTTTTTAAAAAAATCTTGCTAGAAATTAGTCTGAAAATGTTTTTTTTGGGGTTATAATCAGGTCCTGAACTTTTAGAGATAGTCCAATCAAGTCCTCTTGGACACTAAATTGGGGGCTAATCTATTATTTGAGTCAGAACGTGTATTCTAATGTTGGGACGGACCTGGAACAGAAAAAGAACATTTGGGACTAATTTGTAGTAAGGGCAACTCTTATTAGAAAAAAAGGACTGTAAGAAGGGCTATAGTTTCAGGATAAGTGGTAATTAGCCCTTGTAATTTAGCAAAACCTAAAAGTTGGCTCATCTTTCCAGGCATCTTAAAGATCAAATATATTAAGAGTTTCTATTATTTCAGCGATCGAGTGGCTCTTGGGCGTGCTCTGGACCTTCCTGTCTATTTCGGAGATGCTGGCAGTAGAGAGGTAAAAGCAAAATTTCTGTGAAGCTTTTTTATGTTTAAGTTCAGTATTTAACATGCTTAATAATACATGATGACTAGGTACTTCATAAAGTTGGTGCTGAAAGAGCATGCGCTGCAGCAATAACCTTAGATACACCTGGTGCAAACTATAGAACTGTTTGGGCTCTGAGCAAGTATTTCCCTAATGTGAAGACTTTCGTTCGTGCTCATGATGTTGATCATGGACTTAACTTGGAAAAGGCTGGAGCTACAGCTGTATGCTTCACTACCTTATCTCATCCAATTTAGTTTATATACTGCTTCTGAATTAGCAAAGAAACAAGGGGAATCACTTTTCTCTTGAACTAGTATTGGAGATAGAACTCATTTTCTAAACCAAAACTTTTAGGTTGTCCCAGAGACTTTGGAACCAAGTCTGCAATTAGCAGCTGCAGTACTTGCACAGGTGAAGTATTCTCTGAATTACACGGATTTTAATTTCTATAAAGTTTCTTAAATTGATAGAAAATCTGTTTCTCTTCTGGTTATTGTTGTCAATGATGATTGTATGGAGTTTGTGGCGTTTCATAAGAAGTAAGCAGAAGAGTAAAGTTGTGCATAGTATTATAAACTGTATAAATCTTTGGTTTTGATTAATTGATTATTCTGCCACTATTTTGTTATTATTCTTATGGAAAGGAAAAAAAAAGGGACTTAACTATGAGTTTCAGTATGGCTAAAAGATGCATCAGGCTTTATGAAAGTGTCAGGAGCCTTAGACATAGATTCCGATAAGGTTAGGTTTCAGGTGATAGCAGAAACTTACAGTTCGATTTTAGGGTTTTAGGAATTATGCAGTAAGAACAGGAGGAGAAGAAATAGAAAAAAACAGAGAGATTGAGAGAGAAATAACAGAGAGAAAGTTGAGAAGAAATTGTCAGATGACTGCTGATTTCATTCAAATTTTTCAGAGCAATCATTGAGCATACTAACATTTTCCGATTACATCTTCTCATATCCATTGCTCACAGAACGTTTGGCGTAACAAACTAGAAACAATCTGGAATTGCAATAATGGAAAATAGGAATTTTCTAGCTAACTAAAGTCTTATTGAAAGATCAAAATTAACACAATAATTAGTTGGTAGGTTAGATACATCTGACCTGGATGCCAGCTCACGGGTTACTGTTATGATGACCTCTCCTCTGATAACCTTTTGAGAGCCTTACTAGCATTGCTGGCCACTGTCCGCTTAACTGTCCATTCCTCACAGAAAGTTTCAATAATAAAACATTGCACGTAATTAGATTTCTAATTATTGAAGCGTTCAATATGAAAGAATTAGTGAATTTTAATTTTAAGACCCATAGGACATGTATGCCTTGTTCTCATTCAGCAATTTTCTCCATCCGAGACAGTGATTCAGTGGTAAAGACCTTTGAGACAAACCATTCAAAATTCAACTTTAGGAAATGACAAGTATTAGGTGTATGCTGGGTCAATGAGGACTTGACTTGCCTGCTTAAAAGGCTGGATCAAGTGAACTTTCAATAGGCCTTTGGTCAACCAATAACTCAATAACCTCAAGGGGCGTGGCTGCTAGTTCGAAGTGCAGGGACCTAAATGAAAAGTTCCCGTGTTTGAATAATCATCTCATCTAAATCCTACCTGGCAGTTGTTCCTCTGTGGGTAGGGGCTCTTGTGATCATATCTTTACGTCAGCGATACTATTGTTTTTAAGGAAACATATACTTAGAACTATCTTATCCATTGTCTGCAAATTATTTTGTTTATTTTTTATGTGTAACTTGCACTTTCACAAGGTAGTTATATGTTTCATTAATTAAAGCAGCAAGGAAAGTGGAATTGATTGCTAAGATCAGCCAGTTTCAGTTGAGACAGTTTTAGATATGGGCTTGTGCGTTGATAATTCATTAGTCGTAACCATGATATAGGTAAGATGATGGACAATTGGTATTCTTTCATTCTTAAATATCTCTTCCACCACCTTGTGTAGGCTAAACTGCCCATGTCAGAGATTGCAGCAACAATCAATGAGTTTAGATCTCGCCACCTATCTGAGCTGACTGAGGTACTCGAATTGCTTTTTGCCCCTTAAAAGGTTTTCTGTTGTGCTTTCTACTTTGAACAAAAATAGAACCAGACATACTCTTGTCTGATATTTATTATCTTTTGTAATTTACATTGGTAAAAATTGTTATGCAGCTGTGTGAGGCAACTGGGAGTTCCCTTGGATATGGATTTTCCCGGATGATGATTAAACCCAAAATTCAACTCTCGGATTCGGATGAAAACCAAGTCACTGAAGGAACACTGGCTATTTGAAAAGCACCCAGGATCCCATATGAAGAACTGTATAGCAGGTCACATGTTTTACTTGGTATAAACTGTATAGATATAGAATTTTAGATTTTTCTTGTTTTGGGGGTGGGGTGTTGGGGGAAGGGGAAAACAATTAAAGGCATAATCCAACATTTTCTCATTTTCGGTTAGATAAATTTTGGTAGATATGATGGAAGGGAAAGGAATTTTGCTTCTTGTCATCATTCCTTACGGAAATAGACGGGGTTCCATGTGTTGATTGGGAAGAGACAGGAAGAGAACATAAAACTTGTCATAACCAAACAATTAGTCTCTCCGTGAGACTTTCTTCTTATCAAAAAATATATGTACATTTCCTGAGAACACAAATGGTAGTGGGACAGACGCCGATTGAATCTTATCAGTTGTATTGTTACGGAGCAGTCATTCTCCTCTATTGAAACCCAAAATTGATGTGAAGCTGGTGTTTGGGAATGAAGATGATGACGTTTGGCAAAATCAAAGGGTAAATTTCAGTTTCACATAATCCGATTTATTCTTACTGCATTTTAAATCTTACAGTTTTCTCTTTTTTATTTATTTTTTTAGTTTGTATGTATTTTGTTCATTAAATGATATATATAGTAAATTAATACAGAAATAAAAATGAAAAAGATAGTGACAGAGATAGGAAACTCTAAAGAAATCTGTACTTGAGTGGAGAGTTTTGCTTCTATACTGATCGGGTAAAATAAATCCATTCACTTGCTTCGCAATACAAAAAAAGGATTTAAACATTAAAAAGTAACTTAATATTGTAAAATTAAAACACATTTTAAGATTTGATTAGGAATTTAATTTAGGGGTTATGCTTTTAAACAAATTAAATTTTGTTTGTAAAATTTATTCAAAAATTTGCACGCACTTTTAGTTAAGAAGGATAAAAGTCTATTTTAAATTACAATTCAAATACTACTTTTTACCATTTTCTTTGAATAATATTATATATTATATTATTTATATCTTTAATTAAAAAAAAAAAAAAAACTATTCTGTAAGTATGATTTTCTCTCGAGATATTTTTTGATAATCCTTTTTATTTTTTTTTTCTAATGCATAATAGAATTGCCAATTTTTCAATTGAATAACTACGTTAATTAAAACGAAATTTTAGAACACGGATATAAATAACACAAAATAAAATCGTGATATCAATAAAAATAATTAAGAAAACAAAAATCCTAAGAACCGAACAAGACCGGTTCGGTTCGCCTCATTTCCGGTCTTTCAGTCTGGTTTTGAACTAGAGAAATCCTACAGAAAGCTCACTGGTCCCTTACCTATTTACAGCGTAGGTCAGGCAAAAGGCAAAACAACGCTTGCTTACTCTGTAAATGCTGAACCCTAGTTTTAGTCACAACGTACAAGCTACTGCAACACTATTTGTTGAAGCGTAAAATGGCATCTATTAAGCTACCCGGCTTTTCATCGTCGTTGATAAAAGCTCGGTTCCTCCCCTTCAACCATGATGGTTCCCGTGGCAATACTGTCGTTTGTATTCGCCGGGATGTCGATCCTCTGAGTCTGGAATTCTCCAGCACTAACTCTCTCAGAACTCTCTCCCTTCGCTCCTATGCTTCTTCGTCGCCTGTCATCTCGGGTACGTTAGCTCTAATTTCCAGTCGATTCCTGAGGAAGCGAAAGAATAACGAGGAAGACTCACGAACTTCAATAATTCTTATGCTTTTATATTATCACGGCATTGGAATTTGAGTTTTGATTATCTGTTCCTAAGTATTTTTCGTTGGGACATTTCGTCGAACATTTTTATTACCTAAAGTTACTTAGCATATTTCGTCTGCAGCAAAATTGACCACCGAGGCTTCTGCTAAGGTAATTGATGGAAAATCGGTAGCGAAGACGATTCGAGATGAGGTAGCTGCTGAAGTTTCTAGGATGAAAGATGCAATTGGTGTTGCTCCTGGATTGGCAGTTATTCTCGTTGGAAATAAGAAGGATTCTGCAACTTACGTACGCAACAAGAAGAAGGCTTGTGAATCTGTGGGGATTAATTCTTTCGAAGTGCATTTACCTGAGGATTCCGCAGAGCAAGAAGTGCTCAAGTTTATCTCGGGCTTCAATGATGATCCTACAGTTCATGGCATCCTTGTGCAGTTGCCTCTACCTTCTGTATGCTTCTAACTTTCAATACGAATTTCTTCTTCTTCTTCTTCTGGTAAATCATGCCAACATTAACAAAATTAGCTGCCTTTTGATTTATGCTGCAAATGATACGTTCATTGGTCCTAAATGCGTATAATTTGTTTTATTCCAGCACATGAATGAGCAGAACATATTGAATGCTGTTAGCCTGGAGAAAGATGTTGATGGGTTTCACCCACTAAACATTGGTCGTTTGGCCATGCGAGGAAGAGATCCCTTGTTTGTTCCATGTACGCCCAAAGGATGTGTAGAGTTGTTGCATAGATATGGTGTTGAAATCAAAGGAAAGAGGGCTGTTGTAATAGGCCGGAGCAATATTGTTGGAATGCCAGCTGCTCTGCTTCTGCAAGTAATATATCTTTTCCAAATGTTAATTTTTAGGGCAAATTACTTTTCACATGATGGTTAGACTTGATTGCAATTCAAACTTTATGGTTTCGTTTGTTATAACCCCTATTTTATTATTTATTATTATTATTACTATTGTTTGGACTTTTGAACCACATATGAGATTAAACCAATCAAAATTAAGAGAAAGAAAAACCAAGAAATCAGAAGATAATTTAAAAACTGATTATTTCATATAACGTTGTTGAAAAAAATAATAATAATGGCAGTGCGCTAAACTGTACCATCAGAAATTACGGGGTTTGAATCAGACTTTTACCATGGGAGGTGAAAGTGTCGTTGCACTTTATATTCTTCTTAAGCAAAGTTCAATAATTTCATGTTTTGGGGATGAGTGCGCCTCTATACTTGTGTGTAAGCTGTATTTTCATGTCTTAGCACGTTAACATCATTATTTGTTTTATTCTTGTAGAGGGAAGATGCAACCGTTAGTATTGTCCATTCTAGGACCAAGAATCCTGAAGAGGTCACAAGACAGGCAGATATCATTATTTCTGCCGTCGGGCAACCAAACATGGTTAGGGGGAACTGGATAAAGCCTGGTGCAGTTATAATTGATGTTGGGATAAACCCAGTAGAGGTGAGTATAAGTTCTGTATTTTTAGGTATGCATTGTTTTTGCAGACCTTATGCTTTCTCTCATTCATTTTGGTATTTAATCCCCAAATTTCATGAGGTCAAGAATTTCTTAGATTGGAATTCAATCCCTCCTTGTGTTTTCAATCGTTTCTGAATGGATGTGGAACATTAGTGGTTTTGTGAAAGCGAATTTCTTCCTCTAAGTTGATGTTTTCAGGGAGATCATGGCTAACCAGTTTTTCACTCACGCTGAATTGGTGGCAGGATTCAAAAAGTCCCCGAGGCTATCAGTTGGTTGGAGATGTTTGTTATGAGGAGGCCTGCAAGGTTGCTTCTGCAATCACTCCGGTTCCTGGGGGAGTTGGTCCAATGACTATTGCAATGCTTCTCTCCAACACTCTTATCTCCGCAAAGAGGATGCACAACTTCCAATGAGATTCCTTGGAGAAGTGTTGGAAGGTCCAGAATAGATCATAATTTAAATGTATCTTTATGGGGACGGCTCCTTTGAATTTGAGTCCCTAATTTATACCATATCTTGTTCCTGCCTCATTATTATTTATTGCTATCAGTTTCAGAAATCAAAATGAGATGTCGTCAGAGAATAAGAATGATGCTTCTGGCAGGAATTTTATACTATATTTCACAGCGAGGAATAGATAACAGTAGTTTAAAAATGCATTGCCAAGCCTCAAGAGGCTTTCTATCATTCCCTGATTTATTGTAAATCTCTAAGCACTTTCTTATGGTAGTGTTAAAATGGCAACATACATGCTCTGTAACATAGAACGTGAAAGCCTCCCCTTACACATACCACCTGGTCTTGTATAATGCTTTGACTTAGCAGAACTTGATGGAGAATTGATCACTCTTTCCCATTGAGGTATATGCACCTTTAGCATTCTGGCATGCAGGGTGGCCCCGCCCCTCAAGATATGCATATCATCATAATCTTGAATCCAATTATAGAGGCTTATATAATATCATACAAGATTCAAAATAGAATGTAAATTTGCATGAAATTTTACCCTTTTAAGATTCATGTAATCCAAGTACCACCAAGAGTTTGAAACAATTGTTTAAGGGGAAGAAATCTGAAAGGAACGCAAATCAAATGAGCAATTAGAACAAAAATTAGAATCAGGTGTCTCATTAATCCCTGAAATTAGAAAAATTGAATGAAAGGAGTGCGGAACGAATACTTTCTATAATATGTACATATGTAAATATTATATATGTAGATATGGGCATGTTTCTACACAAATTGTGTTATATTATTTGTAAGGAAAATTAACAATAGTCGCACACTTGTGTCTACAAAAACTAACACAAGAAACCAGCCCCAATAAAAAGCAAAATCCCAAATCAAAAGGCCACAATGAGGCTACAACTTTTTCATACACGCTATCTACAAAAATGAGGATCTAAGCTCATTTTTCATGGTACTGGGATATATGAAAACCGTGTCTACGCACAAACCACCTTTTGTGTGAGTGCAGTCGATCTGGGTCATTGAGAACTTGATCTTTGTTAACACACTGGGATTCTCAACAACAAAATCCCCTACATGGTAGTGAATCCAATTCCCAGGATCATCCAGGTAACATTTAGATACAGCATGCTGACTGTCCGAAGTTGTTAGCTGAAACTGTACGGGTTTTAAGTCCCAGCCATGGATGTGCTCCGAGTTACAAATCCGACGGCCGAGCCTCTTCAATGACCTACCAAGCTGGAGTCTGAAGAACACACTATATGTTCCTCGAGGAAATTGGAACTCCAACTCTCCATCTACTTCAAACCACCAAATCTGTTGAAGGTATGCAACTGTCTGGAATCTACAGTTAAATATACAAGGGAAACAAATGTCAGATGATCTGCTGGCGTCCATGCTGAGATCATGACCAAAGATTAGAAACCCACTATCCAATAGCTGATTACATTTAAATTAAACCTTTATAACTGGGTGTTCCAATATAAAATTGTAAATAACATCCTCAAGAGTTTGTTTTCCCCAACGCACAAATAATATATTCGACTATTTCATGTTACATTAAGTTTTAAAAAGATTAATATAATAACCCTATTATTTAACATAATATCATGGAGTATAGAACTCACGATCATAAATTTCCTATTTCTATTAATTAAATTTCAGTACAGAGGATTCAAAAATAGATTGCGGTCATTCTTATCAGTTCAGTTTAAGCTTTTAATATCCATAGGAAGGTTAATTCAAGCGAAAAGAGTAAGGGGTACTCAAACAAAGCGGAGCGAAAGGACCAACTACTAAGTCAATGTCCTCTGCAGGCCGAAAAGGAAAGATACAGGACTTGAAATCACATGTTTTGTGATGAACTCTATATTAAAGTGAGACCTCAATGCTTATCCTATTTTCTTTCTAAGAAAAAGTTTGATACTTTACCAGATCAGATTTATTAATCCTAAAGCTTGAATATGGTCAACAAAAACTTGTTATCTCTAAATATTTTATTTTTAACCAAATCCAATTTCTCCGGGTCCGAATACTCAAATCTGACCAACCCACATATACCCTTTTTATGTTCTTTACTTTCATATTGATGATGAATGGTAGTTGTTTTATATTTTCACAACTGTTTCAATATTCATATAACATTTCAAGCAAGTGGGCAGAGAAATCTCAAGCGAGATCTAGATCACGTAGTTAGATATAAGAGAAAGAAAAACAAAATCCCAATTTAAGTAGCTAGTTAGAAAATCAGAAAATGAGAAACCCAGAACAGCAAGTCAAACCCAGTAAAGGAAAACAGGTTAAAACTTTTGGAATCATACCCCATGGAAAAAAAAAAAAAAAAAAGTTTATAGATTATCTGACAACACTAGAAAGCAAAATTGAAACTTTCAGATGGAAAGTGCACCTGGATTCTTCGGTGGCAATATGATTCCAGTATCTCCGGTCATCAATCCCGGTGATCCTTAAGGCCTTGGAAGAAATTGACAAACAAAGCTGACCGCTATTCTTATCCAACCACATTTCCTGCTCATGAACAAAACTCTCTATCATTATCACATCAATAACCTTGAAACCAATACAAAAATCTTGTGGAAGGAAAAGAAAATAATGAAAAGGTTGAAACCTTGGTGCCACCATCGAACGGATTAGGCTTACAAAGCCTCGCATATAGATCTTTCTTCCCCAAATCAACAAGCGTCTTTTCATCAAACACCTTGTCTGCAAGAAACGGATAGTTAGACGGCAACTTAGATTCCCAGATGAAATTAGCCGACGAAGCAGCTCGGAAAATCCTGTTAACGCGTGCCAATTTGCAGATCTCAGACGGGTCCAAATGCATCAAAAGCAATGCCACGCAATTCTCCGGTATATCTCCCAATCTAGGCTTCAATTGCGCGTTATCTTCATCACAATCTGCTGAGCTCGCAGACATATTAGCACCCATCTGCTCTGAGAAAAAACAAATCTCCCCCAAAAATCAGAGACCGAACACTGAGTTGAAGTAGAAGCTTCACGGGTATTTAAATTTTCCTCTATGAAAGTAGATTCCAGAGACAAGAGTGAAAACAGAGAGAGGATCAAGAAAAGGGAGAAAAGCCTTAAACCCTGAAACGAAGCCGAACATGAAGAAAGGTGGAAAGAGAAAGACGAAGCTTTGTATTTATAATTTAATACTAAAAATAACCATAAATACTGCGCGCGCGCGCGCGCGCACACACACATACATATACATTAATGAGCTGGGGTCAACAGGTAATGGAAAGATGAGGTTGCTCGTTGAAAGAGCGACGAAGAAAGAAAGAAAGAAGAAGACGGAGTTTCTGATTCGAATACCTGATGGCTTGAGGTGGACATAAGTGGATCTTATCCACTACAACCTTAATAAAAACAAACGTCAAATCGATTTCTCCCCGCGCTTTCTGTTCCGCGTGGAATTCACGCCGATTTTTAACCGTCTGATTAGGTGGTGGGATGCACGGTCTGGAATCCACGAGTGGGATAAGATGCGGGAAGGCCACTTGGCAAATTTGTTGGATTCGAGACTATTAATATTATTATTACGATTTAAATATGGAAGAAAGGTAGTGGATAAGTGAAGCGGCGGAGTGGGTTCCACTGCACGCAGCGCCGAGTTTAATGCAGTGAGTTGAAGTTCCGTGTTTACAACGCAGCGATGACGACTCACTGTGTTAATGGTCGTAATCGGGATGATGAAAACCGGTCGCCCAGTTGATTGGAATCTAGACTTAAAAAACAAACACGTAATTTAAAAAATATTAAAACAAGTTTATGTTGCGTTTGTAAAAAGGAGGTCAATTAAGGGGGGGATTAAAGAGTTAATTATACACGAAATTAGTTGATGATTAGTTTTTAAAAATTCCATTTAGGACAGGTGTATGGTTGGTCATACAGCACGCAATATTAGAGGGCGTAATTATCATAAATATGTGGCGGACAATTGAATACTAATGTCATAATAATTAATTCTGCTTTTATTGGTTTTGTAAAATAGTTTTTTTTTTTTTTTTTAATTTTAAATTCAAATTCAAATTCGTTATATATGTAATAAAATATTATAAATTAAGTAATTATATTATTAGTGTATTTAATGTTTATTTATTCACGGACGTATTTGGATGGAATTTGTTAAAAAAAAAAAAAAACGAAAATGTAGAGGTGGTGGAAAAAACATGAAGCCCAAAATCCATTTGGTAAGGATATTCTTGTCAGTCTATTTTTATTTTTTATTTTTTAATTTTAAAGTGAGTAATCCAAACACATCCCAATCATTTAACTCATGATTCCTCTGTCCGGTTAATTTAATAATTAATTAGTTAAATTTTATTTTAATAATTTAGAATTAGATAAATCCAACGGGTTTTCCTAACAATTAATAATTATTAATTAGAGGTTTAATTTATAAGATACATTATTATTCGGAACAAAAATCCAGCTTTTCATACGTGGAAGTGAGTCAACAGGGCCCACGGATTCCACGTGGCGCTTTTTACCCCACTACATCCATAAAATTGTCTCAGTGGGTGTGGTTTTCAAAATATTTTTACATTAAATTTTTATATAATACAAGAGCCATTCATGTACTTATATACCATGTGCTTCTTATATTACATTTATTCAATACCTATAGATTTTAGTAATTACTTATTTTAAAAAAAAAAAAAAAAAAATTAGATGTCTAATGTGTATAACTAAGGTCATAAATTACATATTTCATGCATAATTAAATTAAATAAACTTATGTTATTAATTTCAAGATGATATATTTACTTTTATCTTTTATTAATTTTAATTAAATATGGAATTGACTTGTAATTAAAGTATTATTTCCATTCAAAATTTCTTTTCATATGTATTATATTATTATTATTCTTATTTCATTAAATTAAATTTTAAAATGAATTCAAATTTTATGGTCTATGGTCTCATGATTACTAAATTGAATAATTTTTTTTTAATATATATATATAATAAAGTAGGAAGCAACTATATTTGATCAAACATTCACATCACAAAATTCTTATCGTGAACTTAAGCACATTATATATCATTTATAAAATTGTGAAATATTATTATTTTACAAACAGCATTAATTAAGAATAGCTTAATAAATTAATTCATTCATGAAGATTAAATTAATTTAATTATTTGATTTACTTCATATTGTTTTGAACATTAAATTAAAGGTTAATATTTAAAAGTGAAAATATTGATGTATGTGTGATACTCAAACATAAATACTTATTATAAAATTAATGGGTTTTGATCAAACAATTATCTATATATATATTATTCCATGTTTGATAGTCAATTTCTATTATCATTAACCATAAATTCATTATATATATATATATATTATATTTTACTAAGAAAAGATTATAAATAAGTTATTTTGTTTTTAAATTCATGCTGAATTTCATTATTAAATTTCAAAAACTAATACATTTTAAATTTTAATTTTTGAAGAACATTTCATGTATATATATATATATATATATATATATATATATGACAAAAAGTACTGCACGGGCATACTATATTATATTCAAGGAGATTCAATTAATTGGCAGGCCTAAGCCCAAGTCTCCTTCAAGATTTAATGGACCGTATGCACGTCAATTTTTGTTGGGTTTTATAATATTTGATATGCGCACATGGCATTTATACAAACATGCGTAAACACAATATATATATATATATATATATATGAGAATAAAATAAATGGTATTTATGCATACAAGTTTTGTATGTATACAGACCAAGACACGTGTATGCATATAAATTTTTGAGTTTTAGAATAGTAGAAATATTTTAAATTTATCTTTTTTGGGTACTTTTATAATTTATGTAAATCTTCTTTTAGGTAAGAGTTAAAATTTCAATCTTTTACTTTAAATTAAGATTTAGATAATCATAGAATTAATGTAACGACCCCGAAAATTTTAAAGAAAATAAATTATAAATTTATTACAGAAGCGAAATAAATAATTACGGTTTACATTTTTTATACAATAACTGAAAATAACAAATAGAGTTTACGAGAATAATCATTCTAAAAGAACAACTAATAATCAAAGAAATAAATTAAAAATAAACAAACTGAACATTCTACTCGCAACTCTTTTGTAGATCGGCCTCTAAATCATAGTTCTCTTGATCTGAAATGGTTAATAAAAGAGTGAGCTACACTAACCCAGTAAAAATATCACGCTACTCCCGATATAGAAATGAAGGTTGGTAGAAATCATAAAAACAGCAAATATAACTTTTAATTAAACAAATTTATTTATCATAAATAAAATCATTTACCGTCTATTTATCGTAACGAGATTTACAAAAACAACCTATAGAATTAATAACATAACACATATCATAATTTCATATGCAATCGGTTGGAACAATAATTTTCTCTTTTACTAACCTATTGGTATCCATGGGGGTCCATAGGGATGTCCCCACCACGCGCGAACTTTTTTTTTTAATATTTTTAATTAACGAGCTATTCCCATACCCCGTCTAGTATGAGTGTCAAATTACCAAATCTCGATACTTCATTCGATATGAGTACCAAATTACCAAATCTCGATACCCCGTCCGGTATGAGGCAACGTTCACGGTAAAGTTCCATATGTACCCGTTCCGTCTACCATATCCCAGAATATTCAGTAAGGTTACCGCTTCATCAATCCACTTAATCAAACAATTTCTCGTTTACCTTTAATTTATAGTTTTTTAATTCACCATGATCTCATAAAACAAACAAAACATGCATTAAAGGAATACAATTGCATCCCAGTTTCCTAATTTAACTGTACTCCCATAAGGCAAGCAATACATACATTCAAACTATAAAATCAATCAATCAGGTATTATCATGCATTTAAACTATAAAATCAATCAACAGGATCAACAGTGAATAACTTCCAGTTCTGCCTCCATTAGTAACCTGTAATTAATTATGGATATTTTTTAAATTATACAAAATACCATATTATTATTTATTAGACTTCAATTCCATAACAGAGAATAAGGTGAGAGATTCTTACTTAAATTAATATCCGAAATGCTAAAATTTTGGCTACGCCTACTAGCAGTCTCCGGGTTTTCTGAATTTTCCTTTGGGTATTAAAATGTACTTCAAGTATCTAGAAATATGCCAGAAAACCCAAAATCAGTGTTAGGAACCCTTTTTGGCCAATTTCAAAATTCCGGCACAAAGGCTCCGCCGTGCTATGGCGATGGCATCGCCGCCCACGACGGCGATTTGCCTCGAGTTGGCTATTTTCGACCGTTTTCAGTCAAATTTGGCTGATTTTGTACCAATCCATGCGAAAAAATACGTTAAGGGATCTCGGTTGGCCGAAAAAAATCGAAAAACCAAAACTTACAGGCGGCGGGGTTCTTCGGTGCGGCGACTCCGTCGGTTCACCTTTGCGGTTGGGTGTTTTGCTTCGGTCAACCTATAGAGAAGGAAACAGTTATAACAATGGTGGAAAAATTACACAAAACGAGAATCGAGAAGGACCTCAATGGAGGCTTTTTTGCGGCCATGAGATGTTTAAAATTGAATTTCGATCAAAGAAAATTTTTTACCTCTTT